CTGTGGCTCCCCATTCCCTACAGAAGTAAACCCACAATCCTTTGCCTGGCACTCAAGACCCTTCTTGACTATCTCCTGCATACCTCAGGCTAATTTCTGCCACTCAGGTTACTCTCCAGGGTCTCTTGGGAATGTCTGCCACCTCCATGCATGTGGGGGAGCGGGCAGTGCCTCTCCTCATCAGGCCTAGCAGGGCTCCCCAAGGGTCGAGCTGTCCATCCCTCCAGAAGGAGGATGAGGGGCTCCTGCGGGTGGGCACTAGGCTTTCTTCCTTTGATTCCTTTCCTAGACTCTGGTCCCAGGAAATCCATCCCCATGGCCTACCCTGGAGAGAAGAAGCCTGACACCCAGAACTGAGGAGGCCTGAGAATTCCACAGCACCAAGAGACTCCTACCCCAACAGCTGGGCCCTGAGGAGCCAAAGGCAGGAGGGGGAAACGAGATGCTGCTCAGGGATTGGGGTGGTGGCCTGGAGACAGAAAGCCAATCACTGCTCACCTGGACAGACGAGCAGCCCCAGTACACAGAGAAGGGTGGAGACACACAGACCTCAGGCTGCACACATGCCACCCGCCCACCTTTTCTCCAAAGGGGAATTCTCATCCCCAGGCAGAATCTGCCCTGGAGTCAGCATGTGCCACCCCTCCCAGTGAGTCACCGGCCAGCCCTTCCTCCTCCTCCTTCCTCCCCCCACTATCCAGTCCCAGCCAAGTGTGGGGATGCCAAGGAGCCCTGCCAGGAAAGACCGCAGAGTGTCTTGGGCTTCTGCAGAGAATCAGGACTGAGGGGCCAGGCCACCCTCGGCCTGAGATTACAGCAAGTGCATCTAGTCCCAGCAGAAGTAGGGCCAGAGGGAAGCCCCCAAGACATGACCCAAGATGTGCCCCCATAAAGCCAAAACAACAACAAAAAACAGACTGCAACTGGGCTCTGGGCCCAGATGCCCTGGACCTGGAGATGCCCAAAAGGGATTCCTTGCCCCACCATAACCACCAGCATCACCCCATGTTCTCCTAATCCCCTGTCTCCTTCCAATCCCTGCAGGGGCTCCTTGAGCAACACTTCGCACAAAGAGGACAAGATGGGTCAGTGAGACACAGAGTTCTGAAATTACCGGTTAGCTCCTGGATCCAGCTATGGCTGAAGCAAGCCAGACTGCCAAGATACTTGAGCCAATCATTTGTTTTTCCTTAAGCCAGTTTGAGCTAAGTTTCTATTATGTACAACTACAGAAGTCCTTGAAAATACATTCATTTATGTATTCAGTAATTCATTTAACTGTTCACTGAGTGCTTGCTAGGGAGGCATTAGGGACAGAGAGATGACTAAGCTATGTGTCTGTCCTTGAGGAGCAGATTCTAATAGGGAAGGTGAACATGCATGTAAATCATTGCAGTTCAGCACAGATACTATTTAAGATATAGTGAGGGCTGCTTGGAGGCATCTCAGAGACATGATAATCCCAAAAGTGAGT